TTCAGGATCAAAATTAATACCATTTAGTGGTCATTATCAATTATCAAAGAAATACATCAAGTTCTCTTTACACCATATTAGTGTATTCTTCTATGTATGTGACATGGTAGCGTCATCTAAGTAGATGAGTTGATTACTTATCAATTGTTGGCTTTTAGATAATTCTACAGTACTTGTTTCGCTCTGGAAGGAGTGTTAAATAATGAGAACTTACACTTCTATGGAGACAGTCAAGACGAACAGATCACTGTCGAGAACGAAGACTTGGAGCAGAATTTCCAAAAAAATATATTTACATATGAAATGGAAAAAACGGTGTATATTCTTGATAACTGATGATGATCAATAAATACTCTTGATTTCAGTACTATAAACTATTCGAGACGTAATAACATTGGTAAAAGTATGCAATTAAAAAAAGGTTACAATCTATTATTTCTTATCTACCAAAACAAAAATGTTTCGATTTTGCACTGCCAACTAGTTTTATTTCACAGAGTGGAAAAATGTTACAACCAAGTTTTTCTTAGTCTCAAAACAAAAACACATATATAAAATAGGCTTTTCAATTCCAAAATGTAGAGCTCTCTTCACTCTACTTTGTGATATTTGGCTGTGAATAAAACATTTCAAAGAATTAGAGTAACTAGATACAAATACCTGTCATTCTTTAAGCATCACCAGTTATAAATACTTATGTTCCTTTCCATCATCCATACAGTATTTAAAATCGTAGAAAACTGATTCTCAATTAAAGAGATATTTATAAGTCATTCTCAGCACGAAAAATTTTATCCAGCTGAATGAATCGGACAAAAACATTTAGTTGAAAATCAAGCACCATTTCTCAAATCCAACCATCTATGTTTAAAAGCACATTGCAATGCCACTGCGAAGGTGGTTTGCGATTTTTAAACAGTGAAACGTTTTTGAAGAGATTGTCGAAATCTTCTAGAATAATTGGACTCAATACATGAACTACTACTGAAAAATATGTATTAACAAAAATTTCTCTAGCTTTTAACATTAGCCAACTCATACCTTGAACAAAAGCATGCTCCTTCTAATCTCAGCTAATATATCAAACACATATTCAAATATCGAAGTATTCTCATATTTTACTCAAACATTAGAAGAACTAGATAAACTCTTAAGTGAGCTTTTCTTCTAGAAAATTACTAATTTATTTATCCAGAGGAACAACGAATCCATAATCATGCTTACCAGTACTAGATGCTGTATATGACATGCAGAATAATTTTATGCTTAAAAACACACATAGACAAGATCATTTTTCTGACTGAGAATGCCACAGAAATAGAAAAACACTCAAAAAGTCGAACATATCCGCCTATCTTCATGTCTAGTTATTTACCTACATACCTATCTATATATTACTATATGGATCTATATTTATAAGGACATTTGAGTTCTAAGAGATAGATTTGTACATTGGCATAAATGTACAGATTATTTCTATGTATTGATGGATATAGTTGATTGAATAGGTTACCGCAGTGTTGAAAGAAAAATCTCACTTGTCGCTAATGATATCATTGAGATTTTTCATGAGCTCAACCAAACATATTGATATCTGCAATCCTAAATGCAATTTTCTTTCACTCTATTAATGGCTTTGTAACACATAGATATTTCAGAATAAATTTCAGATTAAAGACTTATTAAATAGACTAATTAAACTTGTTTTTCCAGTAGATGGACTGTACTTATTGTCCCAAATCGTATATTAGTTCTGTCTTCAACATGGACAAAACAGCAAGATTAAAAATTCTGCATTCAAATTACCAAGCAGGTGACTGACAAAGATGGGCAAAGAAAAATAAAAAACGTCCCTATATCACGAAAATGATCACAATATATAGTTGCATATTCATATAACTATGTTCGCACATACTATTCACACAATTCAATTACGCTTGTTTGTTTATACATTAATTCAGTTTACAAATACCAAAAAGGAGGGGAGTCGTTAAACGGTAAAAATGGCCCATAATTCATTTTCATGTCTTGTCCATAACAATTTATTCATCACGAAGAATTTTGCTACGTTCGGTCACTTTTCGAAAGTAATTTGTCTCTAACTTCGCAGAAGTACTCTTTCTTCGATACTACGTGTTCAAAAAAGATTTTTGCTCTGATCTTCACTCTCTAAGAAATGCTATATACAGTCATCAACCTTTTCCTTACAACTCATTTAGATAAGCTAAAGTAGCAAAAAAGCTCCAGCATACAGAATTTGAATTTGATGAAGAAGTATAAGGCAAATTCGTTCAAGACACACGAAGATCATTTTCTGAGTTGGTTGAACACAAAAGGACGACTGGCTTCCATCGATTTTCACAGATTGTATGGCAAAAATGACTTTTGGGCAGATTTTACCGCTTATCGACCACCGTCCTTTGAATATTCCAGGTAGAAATAGAGTTCAGATCATGAAAATTTGACAAAATATTGAATAAAATATTAATTGATACATTTATATCAGTATTATTATATATTCTATATATTACCCTCTTTATTTTCATCTATTTTAGAATATTTCTTATTTGGATACAAATCCGACTAGTAAACTCAGTCTCAAACTGTTTGAGTAATTTATTATGATATTTAATTTTCAACAATTTCATCTAATCCAATTCTTTTATAGCAACATTGCAAAAATTGAACAAGGCATCGGTTTTGAATTCTTGTTATTGCTTGATATGTTGGTCAGGATCATTGGTAGCATGGTCATTTGTTTTGTGATCAATTGGAAATTGACTCTGATCATGTTATCTGTTTTACCTTTGGTTATTGGTGCATCAGTCATATTTTCAAAGGTATGAGTTATTATTTCAATTAAGTGAATTTGTATAAATTATTTCACAGATTATTGCTAATGAAACAATGAATGAATTGAATACATATTCAAAAGCAGGACACATTGTTCAAGAAGTGTTCAGTTCACTTCGAACTGTTCTTTCACTCAATGGCACCAAATTTGAACAAAGACGGTAAAAAAAACTATCTCTCAAAATAGTTTCTCTTAAGATTATCAGCAAAGATGCTGTTATATCTATTCTATTCAGATATGAAAGAGAATTGGATCCAACTCGTTGGAGTAGTGTGCGTAAAGGTGCTATATTTGGTGTTTTTATGGGTTGGATATCTGTAATTTCATATATAATTTATTCAGTTGGTTTTATCTTTGGTTCTATTCTCATGTCTTATGAAAGTAATAATACATTAAATATTAGTGATATTCTTGTTGTAAGTGATTTATACTACAAATCAATAAGAAAAAGAACACATAATTATTGCCCTTTTACAGGTTGTCACCATCTTTGTACAAAATATGCAGTTTTTTAGTTCTGTTGGTCCTTTCTTCCAATCATTTTCCGAAGCTAGGAGTGCAGCAACTCAAGTATTTCAACTTATTGATGAGGTATGTATAAATGTTAGAGTATATTTATATCTCATATTGACTATAATATTCTCAATTTATTTTCATGATATAGGCACAAGAAACAAGTATAAATGAAGCAGAAATATGCGAAGACAGCAAATCAGATGAACAATCAATTAATATTAATGGTGATATTGAATTTGATAATGTTAACTTTATTTATCCATCTCGAAAAGATGTACCTGTTTTGAGAAATCTCAATTTTATTGCTCGTGCCGGTCAAACAACTGCTCTTGTAGGTTCAAGTGGTTGTGGTAAGTCATTTTCAAAATAAATATCTAATTTATTGCAATGATTTCATTTCTAATGATAATTCATTTACAGGAAAAAGTACATGTATATCACTTCTTCTTTGTTATTATGAGACTACATTAGGTCAAATAATGATCAATGGTCGATCAATTACAGACTACAAACTCAAACAATTTCGACAAAATATTGGAGTTGTTAGTCAAGAACCTGTATGTCTTCTTCTGTTTCTTTTCTTTTCTTTCTGTTCACTATAAGATAGATTTTATTTGGTATAAGTATTTATGAAAATATTCGTTTTGGAAAAATAAATGCAACACGAGCAGAAATCGAAGAAGCAGCACAACAAGCAAATGCGCATAATTTCATTATGCAATTACCAAATGTTTGTGCTTAACATTTATTTTTATCTATTCATATGTATGACCAGTCTATTTTTATTATTTAGAAATATGAAACACTTGTTGGTGAACGTGGAATACAATTGAGTGGTGGTGAGAAGCAACGTATTGCTTTAGCTCGTGCTCTTGTCAAACAGCCTACCTTACTTTTATTGGATGAAGCAACTAGTGCACTTGATAATGTCAATGAAAAAATTGTTCAAGAAGCACTTGATCGTGCATGCCAAAGTAATTATTTGTTTTTTTTTCTGTTTGATTATTTGATATATCACTATGCATAGGTCGTACAACTATTATAATTGCTCACCGGTTGAGTACAATTCAAAATGCTCATTACATATATGTATTAGATAGTGGAAGTGTTATTGAGCAAGGTACACATGAAACATTGATGGCAAAAGAAGGAGGGAAATATCAAAAAATGGTTAAAAGTCAACAAATAGAAAGAACAAATGATGATTATGATCACATCATAAGCATGACAAAAAAGGATGATGAAGATGAAAAACAGACTTGTATGTTCATATTCTAATAACTTTCATTTTTCACCTATAGTAAATATATTTTCTTAAAAGTAGCTGAACGCTCTCGTCTGCTTAGTGATATTCAAGCTGTTGGGGTGGACAAAGTAGGAAGAAATATGCATGTATTCATAGAAATCAATCATATCGATAATCTCTTTCTTTTTAGGAGAGTTCAGTGTCGTCAAGTCATCAGTTCATCTTTCTGAGACTCTTATCAATGAACAGTCCAGAGTGGAGTACAATTTTATTTGGTTGTGTAACTAGTCTAATGAATGGAGCGGCGCAACCGATCTTCGCGATTCTACTAGCCAAAATAGTTAATGTAAATAATTTATTGATATAAATATTTTGGAAAAGAGATAAAAATTTTGTTTGTATTGATGTTGATATATTGTTTAGGCTTTCAAAGATTGTATGAACTTTGAACGACATCACCAAGTATTGATTTCCTGTTTTATCTTGTTACTTATGGGTGTTATAAGTTTCATTCTGCGGTTTTTTCAAGTAAAAATATTTAGTCCAATATTAATCAATCCTTTTTTTCCAATTCACATTCTAGTACACTGCTTTTGCTATATCTGGATCAAAATTAACACAACGTATTCGTTCAAAAGCATTTGCATGTCTTCTTCGTCAAGAAGTTGCTTATTTTGATCAAACTGAAAATAGTTCTGGAGCTATTTCTACTCGACTTTCTACTGATGCATCAGCTATACAAGAGCTGACTGGCTCACGATTAGGAGTCATCTGTCAAAGTTTTGCAATGAGCTGTATAGGTCTTCTCTTTGGCATCTTTTTCAATTGGCAACTGACTATGATCATTTTCTTTTCTTCGTTCACCATTGCGATTCTTGGCTATCTGTATATCCGCTTTAATATGTGGTTGAATCAACAATCTGGTCTCATTATCGAACGAGCGAGCTCGGTAAGATCAGATTATTACTCATAACCTTTTGATGAATGAAAAAAACGTTAATATATTATAGAATGTTTAATAGACTGAATACTCTATATTCATTGTTTCATTTCTTTTGCAGCTTGCAATTGAAGTTATTCACAATATGCGCACAATAAAACAGTTGTCAGTAGAAAAGGAAGTTTTACAACAATATTCCAAACTTCTTCATCAAAATGTCATGTTAGTCTCTCCAATATTGTACACATTAACATTTAAGATTTATTTTTGATTTTGATAGAACATTTCAAAAATATTCCTTGCTAACTACATTGCCATATGGCATATATTGGGCAATCGATGCATATACTTTAGCACTCCTGTTTTGGCGTGCTCTTGTTCTTGTTGAGCAGCACAAAATAAACGTAAACAATATTGTTATGTAATTAAGTCGATAGTTAAATAATCTCTAGACAATATTTTGTTATGTATAATTATCTTTCTAGGATCGCTGCCTTTGCTATTTTTGCTACGCAAGCGTTCAAATTCGTCATAAATATGTGAGAGAGATTATCAATATTCGATTAATTATTGATTATGTTATTTTAATATAGGGGTCAACAAATTGGCAGATCCCTATCAGCTGCAAAAAATTTTTTTGATTTATTTGATCGAATACCAACTATTGATAATACATCAACTGAAGGACAAGAATTAGTGAGAGAATATCGAGAAGCACTTTTTCTCAATGATGCATTTCTATCACAAATATAATATAATTCATCTAGGTTGACTTTCATGGTGAGATAAAATTTGATCAAGTTAACTTTGCCTATCCAACTCGACCATCAACTGTTGTTCTGAATAAATTTCAATTAAATATTAAACCAGGTAAATCAGATAAATTTTCAATTTAATTTAAATTTTTCTTTTTTTTATTCTCTGATGAGGTCAACGTGTGGCTCTTGTTGGTATGTTTGAATTAATTGCCTCTCTGTTAATTTTTATCAAGACAATATGATTGATTTAGGTGCATCTGGTTGTGGAAAATCAACAGTTATTCAATTATTAGAACGATTCTATGATGTTGGACAAGGTCAACTTGTTAGTATTTCTCTAATACTACTTTAAACAATAATCTAAAATTAATTCACCAAATTTAGCTTCTTGATGGTATTAATACTCGACAATTAAACCTTCATTGGATTCGTTCTCGTTTTGGTCTTGTTAGTCAAGAACCAATTTTATTCGATTTAACAATTGCTGAAAATATAACATATGGATTAGAGAATATTCCAATGGAAGATATTATGAATGCAGCAACAAAAGCTAACATTCATCCTTTTATTCAACAACTTCCTCAAGTTAGACAATAAAAAATTCACATTGAGTATCTACTAATGTTGTATTATATTGATAGGGTTATGAAACAAAAGTAGGGATGAAAGGCAGTTTTTTGTCAGGTGGTGAGAAACAACGAATTGCTATTGCTCGAGTACTTCTTCGTCGACCTAAAGTATTGCTCTTAGATGAAGCTACAAGTGCCATGGATTCACACAATGAACAAGTAAATCTATTTTTTAACAGCAGAAGTTTCATTTTCTAATTATAGATGGTACAACAAGCTCTTGAACAAGCTCAAACAGAAGATCCTAGTCGAACATCACTCATTATTGCTCATCGTCTTTCGACTATTCAATCATGTGATTTAATTTGTGTCATCGACAAAGGACATATAATTGAAAGTGGTACTCATACAGAACTATTGCAACGACATGGAACTTATTATATGATGCTTACTCAAAATAATCCATAAAAACAATTGTTGAATTATTTTGAAAACAAAAACTCATTTTATCAAATATAAAAGAAGACTTTTAAAAATTCTAGAAAAGATAGATAAATATAACTTATATTTCTTTAGCATGATACCTTGTTAATCAGAAGTTAACTTATTAATCAAACAAAAGGGTGAGGGTGTGAGGGTGAGGGTGAGTAGTAAGCAGCCAAGACGCGTTTCGACCTTGCTTAAGGGTCTCATCAGGTAAGTTTAGGAATATAACTGCCAAAGAAAATGATACAAAAAACTCAAAATCAAAAATTACAAGAATAACTTATAAGAGTATGAAACTCCACAAAATGGGTGAGGGTGGG